GCGGTAAGGTCTAGTCGCCGCAACGTGGAACCTCCCGACCGGTAGTTGATGAGGGTTTGTTTGAGGGATGGTGAAAGCCTTGGATCCTTCCTAATCCAGGAACAGGAATTATAGTCTTGATCAGTCATCGATCAATAATGTTTGGACGAACGACTCGAAAATACTGCTCCGATCAATTATTGACTAGTCTTCGTGTGAACAAATCGATACTGCTCTAGTGAAATATCTTTTTGGAAAGAAAATTGATACCTTCTATTCAGAGTATCGGCGAATCGTCAACGTCAACACAATCCGAAGAGGAACGAACAATCTCACATACACAACCGGAGCAAGAAACAAAATTAGATGATCAGGCTATCCACCAAGGTACTAGTAATCAATAATCGATCGTTTTTGCGCCCAAAGTGTTCTACTGCAGGGAACGGCAAATCATTTCGTCCAGTGATCGGACGTAAAAAGAGACGATCGAAAGAGTCAGCTGAGAACAAACGAGAACGAAAAGCATGGCGGACGTTGGCAATAATTACGGGTGGGTGATTACATTCACGTACTACCGTACTATCATACTACCGTAGTCCCCTTGAAGGTTTTCAATCCGAGGGCTGACCGTCTGACTTTCAGTGGTTGCGAAGTTTTTAGCCGGATTCGTTGAGGACACATTCCAAGATAACTGGTCGGGCTGGGAAATGGACGAGTGTTCACAAACATTCACGTCCTGATTGGTGCGCTCTTCCTTCTAAAAGAAGGATGCACCAATAAGGAAGGCTCATCAGTTATGAGTCTCCGCCCATCCGCTTACCGGAAAATTTTTCCTGAGTGAAGCAGTTTCGTACAATCTTTTCTGAACAATTTCGGATTTCAGCTCCGTTTAAAAAGAGCACTATCGCATAAATAGGCTACAGGCAGTGAAGCTCAGTTACCAATTGGTTTTCGTCTCGAACTCCAGCGCTGATCGGCTTGAGGGGGTGTCTTCCAGTTCCCACCGATTACTGCCTATGCCTTCTAGGGCGATCTGTAAACTCTCCTAGGGCTATGTGGAAGCAGGAATATACTTGACAAGAGCCTACTGGGTATTAGCAAGATGGTAACGTGTACTCCAGCATGAACTAACAAGAGACTAGCGAAAGTACAAGCCCCTCTAGGCCGAACAGTGCCCAAACTACTTACAAAGTACTTTCTCTATGAGAATCAAATGGGTGGAAACCTCACAACCACACCTGTTGGCGCATATCTCCTCTTTACTGTACATAGAAGAGCGCTAAGCCAGTAAGGAAAGTGCTATGGTTGTGGGTTCCCCTCACCTGGTTATCGCGGAGCGTGTCTTGGAGTGACCATAAAATGGCCGTGTTTGTGGACCTAATGTCATTTTGAATGTTTAGGTACATTTGTCGCCTGCTGGACACCGTTCTTCTTAGTCTCACTGTATAGACCGATATGTCGATGTACAATACCGCGCCCCGTGGAAGCAGTTACTGCTTGGCTTGGTTGGTGGTCTTATTTGGTCACGTAGCAATCTCTGATCAAATTGAAGCGTCATTCTTTAGGCTATCTCAATTCGGCGCTGAATCCGATTATCTACACGGTGTTCTCTCAGGATTTCCGTGCTGCTTTCAAGAAAATCGTCAGACGTCTCTTTCTACTCAAAGACTACTAAAGTTTCGCCTTGAATGGGCCAAATGCGTTCTTTTGCAACGCGGAACTTGGCCCTGAATCTGCGACCGGTAGTGGCTGGCGCGCACCACGGACGCCAGTAATCTCGAACCAGGGATATTTTGGCCAGCAGCTTCCGTAGTGAAGCGAACGTTGCCATCTTGTGTGGAATCTCACCCACATCCAGCCCTGCTGGGTCTCCCTGGTGGGCAAAAATGCACTGTAGATAAAAGAGATTGTCCAGTAGGTTCTTCCTTCCTAGGCCTAGCGTTGTCTCAGAAATTCTTTCTTAAACACCCCTTGTACTACGGTAATTCTACAGTAACCCGACTAACCTTGAGATGTGCGCGAAGCAACACAGCACCACCACAAGTAGTGGCTTGCACCCATCCCGGCAAATTTCGCCATTTGGGTGTAAGCTCCGCCTTTCTTGCGTTCGATTCCAAGAAATTCTACTGTCATGTGAGTAATATGGAAAATTTTATTATGAGTGTTTAATATATTTGGGTGATACTATGCGCTGTATTACTAGATGTTATTGATTTTATTGATTAGACGACTGCGTAACGAATCGATGATGTGTACAATGTGAACCTGGGTTGTTACGGGTAAATTTGCTTTATGATACGATTGCGATAAAGTTTTACTGTATATGTTGCCTGTAATATTGTGTGACGTGCTGTCGTGATGATATTTCCTTGCAGGGTGAGTAAGTTCCCAGTTTAAATCGATTTTCTCAACTGTTTACAAGAGTATGGGTCAAGAGGTCCGAATAGCGGCGTCGCGACGGGAGTGGCATTGTAACGAGGTCGCCTACGCTGCATTCGTTCTAGAAGCTGAATGATTTGGAGCGAAACTGTCAAAAAGATCTTGAATCAAGCATGCGAGGTAGCCGCGCGCGCCAGTTCCTGTGAGGCCGAAGAACTCGGACCTCCTGGCCCATACCACCGTCACGAGGGGTTTACGGCACTGTCAGGTGGCGGTATGGGTTTTCCAGGTTAACCTGTGGTTCCCACTGACGTCCACTGTAAACGCTGACGCGAGTCAATATGGTAGGGGGGGATATCAATGCAATCATCTACAATTCAAACGCGCAACCAATCGCCCGTGTGTTGAGGTCACCCTTGTTTAGTTACGCCCACATTTTTGTTGCCTGTCATCACTATTATTTTTACGTCGTCCCCATCCAGCGTTCTTGGAATAACCTTTGGATTCATGAGCGAATCCAAGGCATATTTCCACAAATAGGCTGATGGGGAGAAATGGGAGGAGCTTGGCAATGATTGTACCATGGCATTCGTGGCTTGTTCGCTATTCGCGTCGTTAGAGGGAAAGACCAATGAGGAAGCCCAACGGATGGTTGGTCCCCGCCATTCAGTTATCGTACGACTGTGGCTTTAGTTCGCGTTCAGCTGGTCCTGTCTTCACAATGCATCATGTAGCCTATGAGATTGATTCTGCCGGGTAAGGGATATGCTGGGCCAGTCATCTCTCCGCATCTAGTCTTCCCTCATTGAAACAGCCCCTTATTTGAGTTTTTATTACTGACTCTAGGCAACAGCCCCTTTTTTGATGAGTTTTTTTTTATTATGTACGCTCAGCTCACTTGTCCTTGTCGACAATGAGGCGGTAGGGGAGGGTGTAGGCTGCACGCCCATTTGAATGTTTCCATTTGAGACAACAATTCTAATGAAAGTTTAACATACTGGCGGCTTCAAGAGCTTGATCAGCGCAGCGCGCTTTATCCCCCCCCCCCAAATGCTTCCAGGATTAATGATGGCAGTCTGTTATGAAACTCGGATCCACTGTGGTCCCCCCTCCCAATACTGATCTTTAAGAGTTTGATTGTCCCGATTTTCACAAGGGGCAAAACCTTAGTTGCTACCGTCCCTTCTGTGGTAACAGTGGACTGAAACCTTTGGGTTGACCATATATTACATGCCGGCAAATATGCTTTTTCTGGCCAGGAACTCCTTCTTTACGGCAGCCCAAGCCAGAGCACAGTTCCAACATGATGGATTCGTAGTTACCTGTTTACCGACTTTACGTGCAGGACAAGTGGACAAACGCGTGAAGGTGTTTTAGAATTCGGCTTGGACCACATATTGGAAAGCGAGGATTGCTCATCTCTTTGGTCTGGAGGGGGGGGGAGGAGGAGGAGGGAGGGAAAGACAAAAATGAAAGGACAGGAAGACGAGCTGGCAGAAAAGCGAAACAGGGTCGGTCTCAGAACGAGCGTAATGCATCTTCACGAATACTGGGTAAAGCCTACGAACACTGGGTAAAGCCTATCTCCTCCCCAGATGAGTGAGATAACTTTTATAGGTAGCTCCCATGTCCATAGCTTTTATGGGTAGCGTTCCTCCGGCTTATGGGCCGCGCGGTAGTCACGCAGCGCTTCATGCTCACAGCAGGAGACGCAAACGCAGAAGTTGGATGGATATTTCAACAACCCACAAGGGCGGTGGGATGGATGGGTCGTGTGGTCACTTCTTCCTGGAGGGGGCCCTAAACATCACGTTGCTGGAAGTCGCTCGGACGTCACGACTTTCAGCAACGTGATGTTTGAAGCCCGCACTGCGCCCTCGTCATTTGCTGTGGAGCCATGACAGGGGGGGGGCAACTTCGGACATAGCGGGCCGGGCTACTTGTACTTGGGATTCTAAATACTCGAAATATCAGATAATCGCTCCATGGGTCTTCAAGTTCTCCTTGTTTACATGTTCGTCTCTGTTACATTTTGCATCTCGAGCCAACAAAACTGGCCTAATCCGCCATACGTCAAACAACCCCTCCTAACCACCTTGTATGTCAGGATACTGTAAGCACAAGCATACGGATTTATCGGATTAGCATACAAATACAATACCGATAATCTAGAGACTGACATCACGTAAACAATAGGGATAAACATTGACGTCAATTCTTTCACCCGGATATGAATGGCAAGTAAAATGTAACACAATGATACAGAAACTGGCAATTTTGCAACTCGTTGAAAGAAAGAGAGCATTTGTGCGCGCGAAATGAGGTTTATCGAAGATGAGACAACTCGATATCCAGGGGATTGTTCCTTTCCTTAACAAAAGTTTGGGAAGTATTCCACGCTGGTTGAATGGGAGGAGATGGGCCTACCACTGTACCTTCCTTGCTGGTAAGCTCCCCGCTTCTAACAAACGCAACAATGAAGAAGTCGCAATTGCGCAGTCTCGAATCCGCCCACAGGAACAGAGCGAAATGTGTCTTTAAATCCAAAAAGGTTTCGAGCAGCTGCGCAGAAGGAAAAGTGGTTTTCCGATCCCAAACATGCTCTGACTGGGAGAAACTTCTATTGAAGTATGAATCGATTTCATAAGGGCAAGTCCATTAGGTCCAACGAGATGAAAAGGCTTCTGGAACTACGAGCTTTTGTCACCAGTAGAGATGATAACCCTCTCCCAGCACCGACTCGTCGACGATGATCTTGCTGGTCCTGAATGCGGACCTCAGTTCCATTTGAATTGGGAAATTCGGAACAAAAATGGTGGAAGACGAGGGTGGGAGTCGTACTGGAGCAGGTGGTGGGCTGGTGTGGAGCCGGAACGGTGGTGCTGGAGATCATTTTCCTCACTCCACGGTCGAGGGCCTCAGGGACGGCACCGGTTCAGCCGGATCAGTGTCTGGCATGGCATGGGCGCGTCTCCGCAAAGGCTGAAAGGAAGTTGTAGAGCTGAAGGTACCCGAAAAATGCCCCTAGACAGCTCAGAAGAAGATGGAAAAGGACTTATTCTGTGTGACGGCAGAAGTTGCTCTAGACAGGAGATCGGCAGCGACGAGTGAAGCACCATTAGAGAGAAAATGAACGAGAATGCTGTGAACTGTTCCTCAATATCCTTTTCCGTGAGTCCCGACGCAACGCTCTATGCTTCTCTGGGCCAGTGTTTGAGCAGAATTCGCCAGCGACAACCTTTGAGAAGGTATTGTCTTCATTGCAGAACTTCTCCAACTCCATACAAATGCTTTAGGCTCATTCCCGTTGTGATTTTCTGCTGAGCGATGAAGATTAGGAGGGGGAAACTGAATCGCATCTACTCAGTCGCAAATATCCGTGTCTGTTGAACAGCTGTCGAAGTCACTATTCATGACAAAGTGCATGTGTATGAGAACACCCCCACCGTCAGCACTTCCGCGATCACTTGTTTTTCAACTGCAGTTCTTCCCAGTCTAGTAAGCAGCAGTGTAAAGCAGGTGATATCTTCCCGTCTCGGCCAGATGGATAACGTTGCACTTGATTTTCTTGATCACTTCTGATCCCGTGATCATCGAATCACTGGAGCGGGCCTCAGTAGCTAGCGTCTAAAATCGTCTGCAACACGCCAGAGTTGCCTAGTAAGTTCTCTAAGCTCGGGGTTCGGGGGGGAGGGGGGGCCATGACGATCCAATCATTTCGTTAGGCAGTCGTCCAGGTGCTCTTTCCTATTCCGTGGAATCTAGACGGTAAGCGCTCTGGTCCAGCGGTCATACTCGAATCGCTTTACGTGTGGGGAAATGTGGATGTATTCTGGTCCTCGATCGTCGACAGAGTGCAGAGCTCCGGACTCCCCCCCCCCCTTCTCTCATTTGCGTGTAGCGTGAAACTCCGAGCATAACTTTTCCGATAGCGCGTTGAATGACGCTGACCGCATGCTCATCCTGCTTTCGTAAAGTTCAAGTCCCTGAGGCGTACGTCTGCAATGAACCTTGCTTTTCCCGGGAAGTTTGATAAAGTGTTGCGGGTATTCACCAGTGGTTCAACCAACGGGTGGAAGTCGACCATAACCGCTTGAGGAGTTCAGAGTGCTGGTATAGGCACTTTCCAGACTTCGAGATGACGTGCGTCTACACGGTACCATTGCAACAGCGCTCCAGTGCTATAGACGGGAACGCAGCTATGGGTGGGTATCATGGACGACGGCCGCTAATATCTTGAGAAAGTATAGAGTATGAGGGTACGCGTTAATACAATCACACAATCTGGTACCCTCCTATCTCGTATACTCTTCTGAAACACCAGCGGCCTGCGCCGATTGACACCCCTCTATGGCGGCATTGCCGTCTCTGGCATGAGGTCGCGGTCGTTCGTTGGCGCGCGTCATCGCAAAGTCTGAACGCTGCCACAGCTGCGAGTGGCGCGGCTGTGATCTGTTGCTCGTCCCAGTATAGTTCGTTTATTCTGTAGTCAAGAAACAATCCCTAGAATATTGTAACCAAAACAGAAAAGGAAACAAAAAATATAGATTACCCGAATTCATAACAAGTTAATTTCTAGTGAAATAGACAGCGATCATGTCAATCTGACCGAAAGTGAGTAGCCCAACTGAGAGGTACCCATGTGGGTTTCGTTTCCAGATCATTGATGAGACGAAGTAGCTGTGTACAGCTCTCCTCGAGATCCTTATTTATTAAAGTTGCGTCCAAAATATGGCGATATCTAGAAATGAAAGAGCTAAAACTCACAAGTGGCTCAAACCAAAAATCGAGAAGGGCGGGATTGTTGCTGCGTGCGGTTGCGCTGCAGTTACTTTAACATGTAAACGCAGGTAAAACTTGTATGCGGGTGGTTAGAAGGAGTGCAGGTTCCCTCAAGTTTTTTCATGTCCAGCGTGACAAATCCTTCAATCATTCCGTTGACCAGAACGATTCAACGATAACGATGACCAGAACGATCCAACGACGTCAGTAACCGCCACGCGACCGCACGCCTGTGAGCAGCGACTGTGTGCTTCCTCACCTTTTCAAGTCAGGACTTCAATTTTTCAAAAGCAACTTTTTGAACTTTAGGGAGCAAAAAACGAAAACCTGATGTACTTCAATTAATTCTCCAGTAACAGGCACTGTTTATAAACTCACTGCTTGTGAAAGTGATGCACTGCTCTCCAAAATCTGTTCAATTTCCGTATCCGTGAACAATCGGCCAGAGCTGCCTTTCTTTAGAGTTGATGTAGAAGCACGCGTATTATGCGGACCAAGAGCCCGGGTAGCCTGAATATACCTTTGAGCCTACTGCATGTCCTCTTGCAAAGCATACAGTCTCTCAGGCAGCGTTCATACTGTGCGACTGAGGAGATTCGGCGATTGGAGAAATCGCGCGACGAGGAAAGTATGGGCATCGATTGCAGAGACTGGGCGATCTGGCGATTCGGACTGGGCGTTTCAGGGCGATTGCGCGCCAAAGAGTTTAATGTGTGTCGATTGGAGCCTGTCGCTAGATTGCGAAGATTTTCTGATCGGCCGATCTTCAAAGACGCCCAGATCGCCGAGTCGAGTTGCCGAATTGCTCAATCTCCCAATCGCCGTATCGCCGGATCTCCGCAATCGCTAGCGACCGACGTCGATCGATACACATCCACTTCCTCAGTCGCAGTAGCCAAAAACGTCTCCTGAATCGCTAAATCTCCTCAGTCGTAGAGTATGGAAGCGGTTTTAGTTAGATTCCTACCTTAAACGTCACCTTATCTGGTGGTTGTATGAAAATAATAAACGGCATGAATTCCGATGTACGCAATAATTGTAAGGCCAACGGATGAGGGGTGATGAGCAGAGTTCCACGGCGCTTTGCATCACGCACTGAGGAAAGAGATGTACCGTATAGATTACCTAAAAGAATAACAATTCCATCAAATATGTCATGATTTGGACTCGCTTCCAATGTCACTCATGGAATGGTCCCTTATGACGTGTTGTGGAGCGCCTTACCAATACCATTGCCAGGACATTTCTTATGAACCTGCGCTCTGTCTTTTCAGTAGTCTCGAGAAATACCCAATTCTGTGGGGGGGGGGGGTCTTATGCGCGTCGAGACCAGGCACGATGCTATTTGCCTCGGGGAGGACCCCCCTCTAACGCGGCACACTTCATGTCTGCAACTCTTCCCAAAACGTAACATGGGCCCAAGACACTTAGCGCTGAGCGCACTCACTCTGGTCGCCTGCGCTGCTTCGAATAGCATCGAAACCATCTCAATAGGAGGGCGCAGACGAGTAGACTTCATGTGGGCGCTACTGCATACAATCCTCCTTCCCATGCACTACTGCCCATCCGTCTGAATCAGACCTGGAACATGATTTGGGCTCTTGTTGCATCTCGTCATGCCCTCCCCTCCCCCCACCGGGCTTCCCAAAAGTGAATGTTGCACTCCGGCGCCCGAATTATTCTCTAGCCGAGAAAAGAGCCAGAAAATTTTGACAGCCTTCTCTATGACTTTTCTTTTTTTTCCCTCAAAGATAATCAAATAATGACTTCATTCTAACATACCTTTATACTCTCCAAATTCCAGCATTTGACCAGAATAGATCATCTTTTCCATCACAGACCTTTCCACGAAGTAGTAATCAACACCTTCAGTCTCTCCAGCCCTGAAAAAACGAAGATCCATTTCAATGAGAAAAATTTTAGGGGGCAGTTCGGCTTGGTGCGGGCGCAAATTGTACTCATGGGACCTCCATAGCCCACCCTGTGAAGTCCTGTAAATTCTTGTTAAACTCACTCACTCACTTGTACCATCCTGTAGTTCATAAGGGTTTACCTGTTGGTTAGCAAAAGGACTAGCTAAAGTGCAAAATGCCTCTTCCAAGCCGAACAGCGCCTAATTAAGAAGTACTAGGCTACACGATCAACCTTTTTATTCCTAACAAAAACTCACCTCATAGTCCTGGTGGTATGCGGTACAGTAGTAGAAAACCGTTGAGGGTATCGCGCTAACAAACGCCGTTTCAGCTCGTTTCTCAACAAAATTCTCGTAAGCTGATAAGATTTAGGCTCTAATAAGTGCACAATGATCAAATCTCGGGGAAAAAAAACCAAGAAGAACATGAACAGTATACCTTCCAACACCAGGCGGTCCAAGTAGTACAACAATCCGCGAACCATCTTCTCTCGCTGGGATACGGCACACCGACTCGTAGATCATTTCCGCCTGTAATTCTACTCTATTTCCAAAGAAAAATGTCACTTTCTGGGTCAGTTCGGCTTGGTGGGGACACTGAATGGTACTCAGCGAAGCGGTCTTCACAAGGTGTGAGGGCACCTTGTGAACATCTGCAAACTCCTGTGATCAAAGTGACTAACTTGTACCTTTTAACTACTACTCTAGGATCACCAAAGTGAGACCTGCTAGTTGACCTGAACTAACAAAGAGAAACTGGTGAAGTACAAACTGCCCCTCCTAAACCGGACAGCGCCGTTCTTGCTTGAAATCGCTTATTCGTGGGGGATGAACCTTGTGGGCCTGGGCACGAACACATGAAATATCCATCAGGCCGCCGTGACACTTTGAATTAAGAGGGATCCACGATATTGAGAGGTGTCAGTCGAGTCCCATCTAATCCTTTGTTGCCTATTACCCAAGTCGCAAATTCCCATACTGGCAAAGTATAAATGCGGCCCTAATATTTGACCCAAGATTTTTCGAATGAGTGGCACTCCAGAACCAGCTTCGGGCGCTGCTCGGCTTCATAATTGCATTTTGCTTTTTTAGTAGTCTCTCTTATTAGTTTAAGGTTAGATTACATGTAATGCCCACTCTTTTCAATGCAAACGAAACTCTTGTTAATGCACTGCATCATAGGAACTTAGAGGTACCCGCAGGAGACAACAACAGGGATCGACGGGAACCAGCAAAATGCCCTCGCCAATCCGAACTATATCAAATAATATATAAAAGACAACTAGGGCGTCATTACATTTAAGCTGCTTCTTGAACGATTCGACCCCCGATCCGCATGTTTGAGCTCGTGTTCTGAGGTAGTTTTGGCCAGTTGGAGAGCTTCAGATGGTATAAGTCCTATCCGTGACGATCCTAAAACAACCTTGTCTTCAATAGATTACAAACGAAGTAAACCTTCAGACCCACCCTTGATATCCTCACAATTCGCAAACGCTCCATTTCCGATACGGCGCGCCTAGAAAAGGGGCGTTTTCTGTGTTCGCGATAACTTCCAAGTTACGCCTACCTGCCACCAATGATCATCATTACATGCAAGTAACTCAAGGATATCCCCTTTGCTGAACGCGATCGACACTTCTGGGCAAGGATGTCGCTCGTCATTCTTGCCATTGTAATCAAACTATAACAACAATAAACTTGCAATGTCACAGCGCGTTCATACTTCGCGATCGGTCGTGCGATTCGATCGCGATGTAAGTATGAACGTGCTTTTAACAATTTCAAAACGAGACTAACTCAATAATTAACCAACCTGGGCACGCATGAATACATGAGGAGCACCATTCTCACCGCGAGTACAATTATCAGCAGGGACCAGTTTCAAAGTGACAGTACCGTGATCGACACGATTTAGAATACGCGCCACATCGTCCACGGGGAGTTCTGCAATCGGCATGCCATTCAGTTCCAGAATTCGATCGCCTTCCTGGAAAAAGTAAAAACTGGTTAAGCGGTTGGAGACGCTTGTTAAGTAATGCTGTGAGAGTTAGGGGAGGATAGGGGGTGTGCACGGTGGAGCACTACTGGCTGAAAAAATAACGTAACGGGTCTCAATTTGCCCGTCGGAAAGGGGGCCGTAATTGCTCCCGAGAAAATTTGAAAGTCTCCCCCACCCTGATACTCTTCAAATATCCACCTTCACCCCTCCCCTCCCTCGCTTGACGTTAAAATTTGGGGAAACACAGTGCTTACTTAATACCTCGGTGGAGGACGCAGACGAACAGAAAAGGGCTTGATCTCTAATGTTCCAGCACCGTGAGCCGAAAATTATTAAAAGCTCATAAGAAAACAGCACATAAACTCTGACCTGGATGCAAGCGCTGCGAGCCGCAACACCACCAGCTATCAATCGAGCTACGTAGATTTTCCCACGATCATTTTTGATAGTCACACCAACGGTCTCGTCTCTTTTCACAATCCGCACCTAAAATAGAGTTATTCCTCGTTTCATGGGTCCCTGTTCGAAGAAAGAAGAGCGGACGAAATACTCAAAAATAGGGTCTAAAATTCATTCTAATTCTTGAATGCTTACTCCGCGACAATCAGAGGGGGCGGAGACAGCGAGCCATTTGTACCTTTCTCGTTAGCGCGCCTCTAGTTGTGAAACGGTTAAGGGGAGGGACGCGTCTGCAGGGAACACACTATGGCTCTCTGTCCCCGTTTATGTGAACAGCGCGTAATATAGCTTGGGAACGAATTTCGGCGCAGCTGGGCCTGGAGGGGGCACCGAACAGTTCTCATATGACACTATACAGGCCATCTTGGGGAGACCTCTATGTTCATGTGACAAAGTGGTACCATAGTTTCACAAGTTCACATGTCTCACTTCGGTGCGACCTGTTATTCAACGTGACCTGGCAAAAAGAACTACTGAAAGTGCAAATGCCTCCTCCAAGCCAGCGAACAGCGCTCAAATGTCATCAACTCACAACTTTCACAACTATTCCTTCATCTTCGTCCACTTCGAAAGGTATTGCTGGTAGCTTGGGGAGATACTTGTTGCTTGCAACATCCTCTGCGCTTATCATTAAACCCTGAACTATCACTTTCCTATTCAAATTGGAACTGACGAGTAAGTGGGAGGTTTTACCCGGATATGAGGTCGATTCAGTAGGGCGATAAGTTGCTGAACGGCGGCGGACTTGATGCCGGTGGCTTCCCAGTTGTTAATGAACGCATCGCATAGTGAAGTTGTCTCAGCAGCCCTTAAATTGTAAAAATTAATTCTAGAAATGAATATATCACTAGGTGTGCTCAGTGATAACCGTCTCAACAGGAATGCGCCGTGCATATACATTTACATGAGTTTAACTAATCTACTACAGATACTTCGGCAATGAAGTGTAGAAGAAATGTAGAAATTTCCGTAATGCTGAATGTGTGGTAAAGAAGAGTAGAACTAACAATCTGTCCAGTTTCAATTCACCAGACGTAGCAAGTTCATGTAGACCACGAGCGACATTCTTCTGATGTTCCGTCAGCGTTTTCGGAGCCGTCGGCTTTCGAGTGTA